GAAGTAGGTCCCCCGACTCTATCTGAAGTTCAAAAGGCTATAGTTAATCTGAAACGAGGAAGAGTAGCTGGTCCAGATGAATTGACTCCAGAGGTCTTTAAGGATGGTGGTCCAATTTTAGCGACTAGGTTGACTAATATTTTAGCTAAAATCTGGGAGTTAGACGTTATCCCATCTAACTGGTCACAATCACTTATCGTCCCAATATTTAAGAAAGGGTCAAAATCATCCTGTGACAACCACAGAGGGATTAGTTTGACTAATATAGTATCTAAAATACTAGCCTCGATAATTATCGGACGCCTAACTAAGACTCGTGAACTGCAAACACGTGAAAATCAGGCTGGCTTCAGACCTGGTCGTGGCTGCATCGACCACATATTCACCATTCGTCAGGTTCTAGAACACAGGCATACTTACCAGCGTCCGACAATGGTGGTATTCCTTGACTTAAAAGCAGCGTTTGACTCTGTTGACCGAGAGGTTCTGTGGCAGTGTCTGTCATTGAAAGGCGTACCTCAGAAGTACATAAACCTTGTGAAAGCTCTTTACTCGAACACTAATAGTCGAGTCAGAGCTTATGGCGAACTGTCATCCGCTTTTGCAACCTCAAGTGGTGTCCGTCAAGGCTGTCCACTTTCTCCATTTTTGTTTAACTTTATCATAGACATCCTGATGGAAATGACGCCCTCATCGACTGAATTTTTGGGCATTGATCTCCTACCAGGAGGTCCACTTATTGACTTAGAATACGCAGATGACATAGTCCTGTTTGGTGAAGATGCTGATGAAATGCAGAGTATTTTGGTAGCACTGAGTAACAATGCTAGAATGTTTGGGATGCGCTTCTCTACCTCTAAATGCATGTTGTTTCTTCTGGACCGGTCTGCGTCAACACCTGAACTAAGGATAAGGAGTGAAGTAGTCGAACGCGTTGACAACTTCACTTATCTTGGAAGTCTGATCAGCTCTAATGGGTTGATGCCTGACGAAATCTCAGCACGGATTCGAAAAGCTCGTTTGGCCTTTGCCAACTTACGTCATCTATGGCGAAGGCGAGAGATCCGTCTATGAATTAAGGGACGAGTATACTGAGCGACAGTTCGTTCCGTTCTAGAAGATATTCGTAAGTTACTAGTATTTGACCACAGATGTCCTACAAATATTGCGGGTATCTGCTGGGATCACCGGGTAAGTAATAGTGAAGTTAGACAGAGTATTAGGGAATGATGGTAAATCAGTTGATGAGGTTATGAATCTTCATCGACTGAGATGGTTGGGCCACGTGTTGCGTATGCCTGAACACCGATTACCACGACGTGCTATGCTGAATAGTGTTGGCGATGGTTGGAAGAAAGTTAGGGGCGGTTAATCCAAAACGTGGCATCAGTGCTTGAAATCACTAACTCCAGGTCTGAGCGATGTTGGTAGATACAAACTACTTGATTGAGGTCCGCGTGACTGTCGTAACCAATAATTGGAGACTGTGTGTGACATGGCTCAGAATCGATCACAATGGCGTCAGTGTATACACTCTCTGTCTTCCTTCAAACTAAGAGATTAAAATCACTTCATATCTTTCTCTCTACGAAATAATTCTTTCTTCCTGTACTATATCCTTATATGCAATCTTTCTTCTATATATTACCACCACTGAATTAACCATTTCTATGAATTCGGTGTTCATCTCGCTGTGCTAACGCGGTATGGCAACTTGGACTGATGCATATATGTGCCTGGTCTTACGTTGCAGCTGACTGACTGACTGATTTCAAACAATTTAAATTACATATATCTGTCTTCTAAAGTTATAATTAAATGATATATTTGGATATTCTTTTGCGTTAAAATGCTTATATCGCCTTTATTTCCCTAAACGACTTATGGATGACAATGAGATCCAGGATGCATAATTTGGGACTCGTTAGCTGAATGCACCTGAATCTATTCGGTCAATAATATCAATAATTGGATACTTCAAACCCCTTCTTATAGTGATATAGATACAAATCTGTTTATAGTATAAAAATATGCAAATCCTTAGATTAGTATCACTCAAAAATGAAAAATAATGTATGTGCAATGACGAATAAAAACGGATTATTGCCCTATTTTTCACTTTGGTAGTGCATGCCTGTTTAGTTTGTAAATCATGTACTAAACATTAGCTAATTTACCAGCATAAGCCACAATGTTTCAATAGTATCCTAAACTTATACAGATGAATCGATAAAATTGTTGTCGGATAAAAGACATTTAAACTGTGTATGGAATTAACGGTTGACTTCATTCATTCACAAACTTAGCATGTTTTTATACAACTACAAAGCCATGGATCAGCGGCAGAAAAAATAAAAGTAAACAATGCAATTTTTCAATCAACAATATGATGATAAAAATATGAAATTGAATTTCTTAATAGTGTGAGAAATACAGTCGTACAATCTTTATAAAAACTTAGTACTATAGCATTTTGAAAGAAGTAGTTCGCTCAACAGCCTCCTTCATTACAATTAGAGACATCTATTAAATATAATTCACCTAGTATGAACTTGAACTTCAAAACTTTACTTATTTAGCACCAATCATAAAAGTAAAACTACTTGATTATAATTAATTTTTATTAAACGCAAACTTTAGTATAAATAGTCATATATTACTCACATTGTTGATCAATATAATATTTTAAACTATTCAGCGTTAGAGAAAGTAAATTGTGCATCTTTTTACCAATTGATGATTATTTCTGATATTATTGTTTATATAGTCGATTTTGGAGGCACATCACCACGACTTTAAATGATCAGCTATTATTATTATTTATTTATTTATTTTAACACATAGGTATTGGTACGAGAAGGCACCAAATACATATACGCCACACGAATCTCAATTGATTTGTGTGAAAGCTGTGATACTGCTCGGGTGCCCAAACCGAAGCAGTAGTAGCTGTAGTACTTACCGGAAGGCGTACAGAAATAGAACGATATAATCCACAATCTAAAAACCTATTATTTATGTACAAGTAATTCCGTGCTTTATAGCAAACGCAAGTCTGAGAATAGGCATATTTTTCATACTGCCATATCAGCATGATTTCTTGCCGCCTACACCATGCACTTCAAAAGGTCGACGTTTGATTGGCTATTTCCGTTTTCGATAAAGTCTTTTAGGCCACTCAAGTTTCAAAATGTGTCAGTCAATAAGTAATTAGACTTCACCTGAACGCCGCCCTATAAGTATTGTCATACTATCTATATGACAAAATACCTTTGGTTGTTCATCTATTAAACGCTAAACCTAAGGAAAATAAAGTCTGTTATGTGTCCAAGCACTTCTTTGTCCAGCCCTATTTTACTTTTGATCAGAAGATATGACTGACTGGACCAGTTAAGACGTATATTATCGTTACTTAACAATAAGAGGAAAAATACGATTTTATCTCACCACTTGTTGTTCATGGAGATGAGATAAGTTATATTTTACATGTATTGTTTGGGTCCTACCAAGCCAATATAAACTCGCAACGAGGCAGAACTACAAGATGCTTAATAAGTAATTCTATGTTCCCGTTATCCATCCCTATTTTTATCGGAGAAATTAACTTAGTTTCTTCGACAAAGTCATAGCTTTCAAAACTTACCGAAGTGAATTCTTTATAAAATGAAAGCAATAATTTATCAAGTACAAAATAACTACATTGTAAGCAGATTTAAGACATCTGCATCGTACTGTCTTTCATTTAATACAAAACTTTGCAAGATGACTTGAAAATTAAGTTTCAATTTTTTTAAGAATACCTTAATTTAATTACGAATAAAAATTGATACCTCAACTTTCATCAAGAAAATAATAGTATTCGTCTATTTGCGATAAAAATAAAAATATTTTTGTTGTATTTCTGATCGGGTTAACAAACCAAGTTATCGTGTTTCACCGATTCCGGTTTTCACAATTTTTAAGTCCATTTAGTTTCAAAAGATTTGTGTAATATTAAAATCATACTATTTGAGGCCAACATATGTCTATAAAAATCAGGTTTTTCGCTTTATAACAAAAATTCACCGGGTCAAAATACATATAAAAGTGTATTCATGCTTTTGAGGGGCAAACGCAAATTGTCTTGCCTTAAATCAAAGTACTCATTAAAAGTATCTAAATACATCCTTATTTCTTGACAACAGATGAATACAATGATGGTATTCATTGTTTTGACTTATAAATTTTAGCTACTGCATGTCTGCAACCTTAAAAAATGTTCTTCTGCTACCAATTACTAACTTAAGAGATAAGTTTCTTGTTTCTTAGTTGATTCTTGTATTTGATATGATGCATATATGAGTTCTGTTCAGCCCACCGTCAAAAGAACAAGCATCTTGGAGAACTGACTAAAATGTGATTGGTGAGATTAACAAAAACTAGTAATAATAAATGTTCATAGAAGAAGACAGTTGGTCCTACTGGTGCTAACATAAAAATTTTGAGAACTATGAAACTTTAATTTTCTGTTGGTTAAATAAGAAAAAACACTTGAAACGATCACGAAGCAATCATGATATATTTTACCAAAAAACACACTATCTTCGTTGACCATCAACCTTTCAAAATGAAATAAGAGGGCTAATGGGTTTATATCAAACATTTGCCCTAAAAAAGCTTATTGCTCAAAAACTGTTGAGTCGTATGAAAAAATGTGTACTCTTGCCTTCGTCAAATACTACAGATTAATTTAAAGAATTCCATGAGTATCAGCTTACAAATATTTTGCCGAACTACTTTCTTAAAATACTGTCAAATAACCTGCCTCGAATTTCGACAAAATTTCAAACAGATCACATTCGAATTAGATCAAGAAAAAAACGATCAGCTGAAAGTATTGCCATAACGTGTCAAAACAAATAAAAAATTTCAACTACATAAACTAAATATCATGAATACAGTGTGAGTAATAGTAAGATGTTCCAGATGTTAAAATAAGTGTCAAAGAATTTTAAAATTACCATTTAGAACAATTTGAATCACGCAACCAGAAACTATATCCGAAGTGCTCGTAACTTGACAATAACCATCAATCGTATTATCTTTGTTGCAGTAGAGTGTAATATTATTCACTATCTTACTCTCATCTCGAGTAGATACCTATAATAACAATAATCACGATATTTTGAAAACCTACCAGCTTTTTTACAACATCAGCAGCTGCCAAATATATGTCATCAAGTTCGAAATTTTTTTCAACATAAACACAAGCCTGATATGTTTCAAGCTGCAGGAAAAAAGCAAAGGCCATGCAAACGTGAAACGATAGTTAAAAAACTAGCTACGCGTAACACAACACTGCCTTGACTTTTCAAGAGTTCAAACAAACACGTATGCTCTTCTAGTTTTGCGCTCTCATTAAAATACACTCTGTAAAATCTATTGCCCCTAGGTTTTTAGTCACTTAATTTTTGGAATTTCGATTTTTTGAATCTTCAGTTGTTGTCTCACTGTAGTAATGTTTACTAATAACTTCGAATTAATAAACTTAAATATACTTATATAATCGCAGAATTGCAAACCCGCTAAACACATCACTGTGTAGTCATGTTAGGCATAGTAGGGCTTTACTGAAGCTTCCTATTTCTCTGTGAACAACTTTACCAAAACATTAAAAGTGTTAGTTTCAGCACAAAGAGATTACTTCACGTCATTGGTATAAATCGAAATAAAAACTTTAAGAACAACCACTTATAGTGATCACCGAACACCGTTTTTTCCGTTCATGTTCCTTACTCTTGATTCTCTGTTCAACTATATTTGTTATTTGCAGTTCTTGCAATCAGTTCCTTTTCGTCCAACTAGATTGTTTTTGTGTTAGCAGGTACCAAAGACTCCTAGAAATCGTGTCCTATGTTTCGTGAATTAACCGTCTCCAACACTTGTGATAGGCTTCAAAGCGTCCAACTGATGCGATGCTTATAACAGTCGAAATTCGAGGCAGGTTATTTGACAGTATTTTAAGAAAGTAGTTCGGCAAAATATTTGTAAGCTGATACTCATGGAATTCTTTAAATTAATCTGTAGTATTTGACGAAGGCAAGAGTACACATTTTTTCATACGACTCAACAGTTTTTGAGCAATAAGCTTTTTTAGGGCAAATGTTTGATATAAACCCATTAGCCCTCTTATTTCATTTTGAAAGGTTGATGGTCAACGAAGATAGTGTGTTTTTTGGTAAAATATATCATGATTGCTTCGTGATCGTTTCAAGTGTTTTTTCTTATTTAACCAACAGAAAATTAAAGTTTCATAGTTCTCAAAATTTTTATGTTAGCACCAGTAGGACCAACTGTCTTCTTCTATGAACATTTATTATTACTAGTTTTTGTTAATCTCACCAATCACATTTTAGTCAGTTCTCCAAGATGCTTGTTCTTTTGACGGTGGGCTGAACAGAACTCATATATGCATCATATCAAATACAAGAATCAACTAAGAAACAAGAAACTTATCTCTTAAGTTAGTAATTGGTAGCAGAAGAACATTTTTTAAGGTTGCAGACATGCAGTAGCTAAAATTTATAAGTCAAAACAATGAATATCATCATTGTATTCATCTGTTGTCAAGAAATAAGGATGTATTTAGATACTTTTAATGAGTACTTTGATTTAAGGCAAGACAATTTGCGTTTGCCCCTCAAAAGCATGAATACACTTTTATATGTATTTTGACCCGGTGAATTTTTGTTATAAAGCGAAAAACCTGATTTTTATAGACATATGTTGGCCTCAAATAGTATGATTTTAATATTACACAAATCTTTTGAAACTAAATGGACTTAAAAATTGTGAAAACCGGAATCGGTGAAACACGATAACTTGGTTTGTTAACCCGATCAGAAATACAACAAAAATATTTTTATTTTTATCGCAAATAGACGAATACTATTATTTTCTTGATGAAAGTTGAGGTATCAATTTTTATTCGTAATTAAATTAAGGTATTCTTAAAAAAATTGAAACTTAATTTTCAAGTCATCTTGCTTTTGACTCCTCTGTTTTTCTCTTTAAAGCCTATACAAAAAAAGTTGGATACTGATACACTGTAGTTAAGCAAGCAGTATGGCGTTATCTTGAAGAAGCTTAAACCCCTGCTCCATTGGTTGGAAGCATCACACTTTCATGTTATTTATCATAATTAATTGTGCATAAAGTATGTTTTATGTGTGCTACTTTGTTTAATCACCAATGAATTTAAGTCATTTGCCTTGTCAAGTCAAATTCTAGGTAGAGTAAATTAGTTTAGAGAGTGTATATAAATACTTATCCTTTGTTTTAAGAATCTCTGAATTAATGTATAATTTTAATAATCTTACAGACCCTGTGTATTCTAACGTACTAATCCCTGTCAACGCAATAGCATAACACAAGTAAAGTGAAAAAGTGGTTATCTTGTTAAATCTTCATGTATTTTAAAAGTTCTCGTCTCAAAATCCACACTCTTAAGTGGTACAATATCGTATCATATACTGGATACTTGTCATCAAATGGATGCGTTAAAGATCACCGCTGTAGTTGTTAAACAATTTAATTAGACTATCCTCAAACTTGTTAAATCCAGTACCAATTTGTTTAGCCTCCCTCCTATCAAATTTCCTCAACCGATATTAGTCTTCAATTAATGTCAACCATCCTCAAACCAACAGGACCTCTACAAATCATGTGGTTGAATTTATGTAGTCCTGTTTACTCGTATACCTAAGCGTAGCAAATTCGTTTGACGTATACACCTTCGTTTTGTATTTGTTTTTATTTGACTTTTAGCAACGTGCTTACTACCACAATTATTTGTTAAAAATAGAAAATAAACGTCTTTACTGAACTTGTGAATTTTTGTTTAGCATGTCTTTAGCTAGAAAGTGGTGGGATAAAAATGAATCAACTACGAAAAGGTATTCATCTGCCGATATACAGCCTATTGGTGAATATTTACAGGAGAAATTTTCTCATGGAGTCGACTATAATAGTATGTTTAGGAATTGGCATAAAAGTTAAAATATTTGCTTTTATCATCACTATCATTTTTTCTACATTTTTAATAGACACTTCACTGGTTGTACATCCGACTGACTAAAGAACTAAATTATATGATTCGAAATCTCGCTATGAATATATTTATATTCAAGTTTGTAAAGATTCGTTATTTATGGATAACTTATCCATATCTAGAGCTCTTTATCAGTGACTTCGAACTCTAAATATTAGATGTAGTTCATCAGACCTCAAATTTATTAGATATATTTACTTTTGTTGGGGCCTGCTACACAATGTATAGGCCACCGACCAGGGTTCTCCAAACAACTCTGTGCTGGGATCCTTTCTAGTTGTTGCCGATTGGTGCCCATAGTCTTAATGTCTGCCTTTGATTCTTGGCGTTATGTGCTCTTTAGTCTTCCTCTTTTCCTTTTGTTAAGTTAGATCTTACCTTGAGATGTAATTCTACATGGCTTCCACAAACCATGTCTTACCTGCATTTAGCTTCTTTTCCTACTTTCTTCCTCAACTGGTAACTGGTTTGTTCTGTTTCATATTAGGCTATTGTCGATAGTGTGCGGTTAGTGGGTCCGGAGTATCCTTCGTAGACAGATATTTACAATACCTGCACTGCTTTGGTGATCATTTCAATTCTCCAAGTTTCAGCTCCATACAATAAAACTTAAACACGTGTTGAAAATCCTTTGGTCGTAGGTAACAATTCTTTTGAGTTTCAGATATCCTTCAATTGTAGGAATGTTGTCCTTGCTTTGTCGATTCGTACCTTCACACCTTCATCAGATCCTCCTTGTTTACCAATAAAAATCTGCAGGTATATGGAGACTCCCACCTGTTCTCGAGATTCCCCATCAAGTGTAATGTAGTTGGTGCTCACTGTTTTGTACTTCAACATCCCACTTTTTCCCTTGTGAATGTTAAGGTCTATTTTTGAGGAGTCCTCCGCCATATTGGCTGCATTTATTTGCATTTGTTGTTGTGTATGGGATAGAAGGGCTAAGTCATCTTCAAAGTCCGAAGCATCCGTATGTGTTCAAAGTTTCCACTATGTTATGTGGTTTTTCTGAAACAGAGGCCTTCGTAATCTAGTTAGCAGTTAAAAGGAGGAGAAAAGGTAATAGTTAGTAGCCCTGTTCAACACCAGTATCTGTGAGCTTCCTCCATGCACAACTTTGCAATGCAGTCCATCGTAGAAGTTCTGTATGATAGCGACGATTTTTTCAGGTATAGAGGTGTACCTCTTTCCAACCTTCTGGTACTTGTTCTTCTTCCAGAATCTTTCTAAAGAGAATTTGGAATATATTTTCAGTTACCTCAACAATGATTGAGATCATGAGTCGATCAATGTTAGACCACCACTGAAAACCTGGAAGCATTGTCCAACCTGAGTTCAAAATTTAGCTTCTCTACCAGGATGTTCAGTTCTTTTTCTGAATATTTCCATAGGATGAACTGCATCCTCGCGTTAAACTAGTTTTTATTATCTTCGCTGCTATCGCTGATAAGTGCTTAGTACTGGATAACATTCGTTAGTCTTCTCTACTTTACGTCAGATTACTAGAAAATTCAACGTCAGCACACTTAATGGGTTGTTATTTTCCCAGAATAATGCATAGAACGTTTTGCTTTGGATTCATCCCAATAGGGAAACGAGTGACTTCTTGTCAGGGTGAGTTGTTGGCGCTAATTGACAAACGGGTAGTAACCAATGACACATCTTATAGTTTTTAGTACTGATTCAGGTGAAATAAGAAAATAATCAAGTAAAACTATTTATATATGCATACATATAAACGGGATGCTCCTATGAAAACTAACAACAATAGTTCACTCTTTGCTACCGTGTGGCTGCAAACATCACTCATGAAAGTAAAATACACACATAGGCTACAAACATTTTATCAAAGGTATTAGTCGCACATATTAAAACCACAAAGTGAACAATTGTGTGGTTATGAACAGAATACTAAATAAAAGTGTTAAATTCATTAATAAGGCTATAAACCTTTGTCAACCTAGTTGGTTAAGACATAGTTTATGCATTCCACCTACTACTCTGATATATAATGTTAGTCAACATAATAGTAGATTGGAAGGCTACGAGCAGACAAGGTAAGGTATGTGACGAGTCTGCAAAATTATTTGGTTGTCGTTCTGAGCCGTGTCGGAAGAGCCTAACTGCTTACTCGGGGACGACCGCACAATATTTGCCATAGATGGCGTGAAGTTGGTCATAGTGGTGCAGTACCATATGCTTCCTTGAATTGTACTTTTGTCCAGTTTTTGACTTA